TACCATGGCTGCCGAACCCCTCCTCCCCACACTAAACTCATTGCTAGAGCTCACCCATCTCCGGTGACGACCTCTGCGAAGCCACCGCCTATCACTACTCCTCCCCGTCGCTCAACACCTCTATTGAGGCCCTGTCTGTCGCCCACACGCCGTCACTGCTCCTTTGATAACGTCGTTGCTGGCCCTCTTCGCCGCAACCCCTCCCAAATCAGTGGACAACAACTAACTTCCCCTCCCTCTGCACACCCATCGCCGGCTTAGCCTCCACCTATTCCAAGAATAAAAGCCGCCCAGTCCGATTTGAGCAAGAAAAAAGAGGCGAGGCGAGACAATGCCTTATTTGAGCGAGCAAGAGAGAGAGAGAGAGATTCTTTTTTTTTTAGTTTGTTATATTTTTTTAAATCTAATGTGTCAAAATTATAATCACTTAATTAAATAAATAGTTTAAAATTATTTAAAATGTTTAATTTTATAAGAAAAATTATATTATATTACTGTGCACAACCAAATACCGTAAAATAACATTCCTGGGAATCTGACAAAAGATTCCTATGCATAACCAAACAAGATAATGTAAGTTTTCAGAAAATCATATTACCTACCATCACTTTCCCAGGTATTTGATTCCTATTGATTACTGCATACCAAATGGCCCCTTAAAGTAATGTCCGGTTACAGTTAAATAATCTGTATTGGCAACGATAAACCAAATATTTGCCATTAACACAACGCACCCGCTAGTCGAGTGTAAAAGGTTTATTAATGCTTCTTTTTTGTAAATAATTTTAATAAATCTTTCCTAAGAATAGTTTTTAAAGTGAAATGTGCATTAAAATTATGTACAACCTTAATATATCGTTGTCAATTAGGATGTTCTACAAAAAGTGGTTGATCTAATACAGCTATCATTCACGCAACTTGCATACGATCTACTTGTGGATCGTATTTTCAAATGGTTAGACCACTGGTTGCTCGATCAAAAGATAATTGTGTTTGGTGGAGTTCAGATCCGATGGACTGGCTAAGTTTTTGAAGACACTTTTCAGAGTGTCTTCTCAAGTGTGTGGTGCCGTGAATAGTATCACCTTGTAATTTAGATAAACAATATTTACACTGACCTATATGTTTAGTGTTACATTCATTGTCGATCTCCTCAATTGTGTCGAAGTGATCCCAAACTGTCGAAGTACGCTTGCATTTCCTCCTGGAGATTGCAACACTTGCAGACGCAGTCACACTTGCACTCGCCGCTTCTCCACGCCCACCACCATTGCGACCACGACCTCCAGTGCGCCCACTAGGGCTCAGATTAGTAGATTCCTGCATAACAAATTCATTAGTGGGAAATTGCCCTTCTTTCACCTTGTGTTGGGCATCAACGGGAATACCACTATAACCAAAAGAATCCATTATAAAAAAAATAAGAGCGATTTGAGAGAGAGAGCTTTAGGATAATGTGATTGTTTTTAAAAAAATTGTAAAGCTTTAGGATAATGTGTTAATTTTTAGAAAAATTGTGAAGTTTTTAGAAAAATTGTGATAGAGATTTGTGAGATTGAGAGAGATTGAGAGAAATTGAGAGAAATTGAGAGGGATTGAGAGAGTTTCAGTGAGAAAAATGTGTGGGGGATGGAGGGTATTTATAGAAAAAATTTTGGGTTAAAAAATTGATTTTTTTCCCCCAAATTTGGATCAACGGCTACTTCTATTTTCGGCGGGTCGGGTTCGGGTAGAAAATCAGACAATGGTCAAAAAACTAGCCGTTGGGGCTGGGCTTTTCGGGCTTCGGGTTGGGTTGGGTTCCAACAGTCGAAATTTGTCCATTGGTCGGGTTTTCAGGCTTCGGGCAGTTCAGGCAAATCGGGCCTGGCTGGAAAAATTTTAAAAAATTTCAGCGAACGGTAGTTAACGGCAACAACATGGCGGCGGGCTCTGGTGTGGTGTCCATTTTTGGACTACCCAAGCACGAGCCCAAAAATTTATTGTTAGACGGGCCGACAGTTGGGCCTGTCCGTCAAGCCCGAAAAATTCGGCCCTCGGGCCGGCGGGCCGGCCCAAAGTTCTAACACTAAGGCCTTGTTCATTTTACCGATTTGAGTTTTCAGCTTTAAGTTTTTACAGTAAAAAGCTCTCAGAAAATATCACATCTAACTTTTTCTGCTATAATGAAAAGTTCTCAAAAAAATATCACATCTCAACTCAAATTAAAAACTCAAATCTATAAAAATGATGGTGTCAGAGACCAGCCCTTACGCTAGTCCATGAGAGAGGATAGTTTGGATTAAGAGAGGAGGGTAGTGAAAAGAAAGTATAGTACTACGGGTTGGATGTAACTTTTAAAAATTGGCTAAGTGTTGACTAGTGTTTGTTTTTGGGTTTAAAAATGAAGTAGAAGGGAGTATGGAATTAGGCTGAGATTTGTGAGGAAATTTTTGAAGAGTTGGTGGTCTCTTAAATACTCAGTTTTTCGAAGTCTGTTTAGTTCGTTAATTTGAATTTTTAATTTGAATTAAAATGTGATTTTATATCAAAACTTTTTACTGTAATAAAAAAGTTAAATGTGATTATTAAGTTTTTCGAAGTCTGTTTAGTTCGTTGATTTGAATTTTTAATTTGAATTAAAATGTAATTTTATATCAAAACTTTTTACTGTAATAAAAAAGTTAAATGTGATTATTTTTAAGAGTTTTTTACTGTAGCAAAACTCTCGAATCGGTGAAATGAATCCATTTCGTTTTCTTTAATTTTTCTAGTTGGTCTTGGTTTGTATGAGCTGGTGTTAAAGTAAATTTCAATAAAAACTCATGTTTGCATCAAATCTGGTGTTGGTTGCTTATGTGTGTGAGTGTTTGGCTATATGGTTGAGGAAATTATCAGGTTCTTAACATTTTGGTATCAGAGCGTCGGTGCACGGCACCAAAAGTGGCGGACCTCGAGTGTTTGGCGGTGGCTGAGAGGGGTTTGGCGGCGTGCTAGGAGGAGGTTCAAACCCTACTTCTGAGAACTTACCTCAGATTAGCGTGGAAGAGGTTCGTACTCAGATCAGGGAGATGCATGGGTCAATCGGGGAGATGCACCGCCGTTTGGAGCCATTGTTGGAACAGTGGGAGCCTCTGCCTAGGGCGGAGGTCATTCACAACGGCGCGAGACGAGAGGATCTGGGCAAAAACTACCCAGATTGCGCCGACCAAATTGAAGCTAGACCATGGCTGGCGGCAGAAAATCGCGACGATCAGAGGTGCGACGGAGGGGGGTTTTCGCTCAGCCCCGTGGGGACCCACGTTGAGAAGAGCATATCTCGACTGGGTTAGGGCCGGAGGATGATCGGGACCATGAGAGGCGGCGATTAAGGCCGGGTTTAACCAGTTCGGCTTGTTTCTGCGACTTGGAGGCCAGATAGGCGTAGATCGGCGTCGTAGGGTTCGGATCGGCGATGGGCCAAGGGCAGAGGATGATTGGAGGCGGTGGGAAAAAGTGACGAAGTTGTGGCGGCGCCCAAAGTGTTGCCCAAATTCGCGCAAATGGGCGAAGGGGGCAACCAATCGGCGGTAGGTTCGCGTCGGGGTTAGAGCGTCGGCCTCGCGACGCCGTGCCGGTGGATGGGCGGCCGACTGATGTGGAGGGGCAGCGACGAGGACCTGTTTGACTGCCTGATTTAGAGTGGGAAGGTAGGGAACATGGACCCTATTCGAGTCAAAGAAGGTTCCAAAGGGGCAAGGAACCTAGCCCAGATCCAAACCCAATTGGGGCCTGCTGAAACACGACCCGAATCTTGGTGGTGCAAATTTCAGATGGGGTTTTGGACCCCGATTCCTTCTGGAAGCCTATCTATGGGAGCACGATTTTAATCAGGAGCTGCAACATAGAGACCGAAGGTGGGAAAGGGATCGGGTTCGTTGTCCCGAGACTCCAGCGGGGTTGCAAGTAAGAGGGGAAATTCGAGGAAAAAAGATGGAAATGCCAATCTTCTTGGGAGAGGATCCGTATGGCTGGCTCTTTCGAGCGGAGCATTATTTCGACATGTATGATGTACCGGAAAGGGATAAGGTGACGACGGCTTCAATTTGAATGAACGGACGAGCATTGAATTCGTTTTGGTGGACCAATTCCCAAGATCAATTTGTAGGTTGGCGCGAATTGCGAGCGTTGATCTTGAAACGGCTTAGTCGAGCTAACAAGGGTGACCCGACGGAAAGGCTAATGGCACTTAAGAAAAGCGGAACTGTGGTTGAGATGCTTTCAGCTTCGGTGAGAAACATGCCAGGTGCCTTCTACAAAGGGGTCTTTCTCTATGGACTCCGTGAGGATGTGCGAGCCGAAGTGAAGATGCATCGTCCCACAACACTTTAAAAGTTAATAGAGATAGCCCAACAAATTGAAGATAGGAACAAGGCGGTGGCTTGGTGCGCTCGTATTCTTTTAGTGAGTGGCCGACCACTCAACATTACGTTCCAGAAAGCTTCCTTCAGTCCAATACCCCACGAGAAGGCAAAGAAATGAGGGGAAAGTCACCTACACCGGCGGTTTCTAGTCCATCAGGTCGGATTTCTGAAGAAGAAATGCAACAACGCTGCATAAAGGGTCTTTGCTATAAATGTGATTAAAAGTATGGCCCGAGGCATAGGTGCAGGAACAAGCAACTTCAAATTTTGTTGGCGGAGAGGGAGAAGAACCTAAGGAGGACGACACGACACTGAGTAGTGTTTGCTTTTGGGTTTAAAAGGGGAGTAGAGGGGAGTGTGGGATTAGGCCGAGATTTGAGAGGATTTCGGGAAACTTTAGGAGATTTAGTGGTCCCTCAAATACCACTGAGTTTAGGAATTCTCTGAAGTCCTCAAAGACTGCAGTCTATCCATTTCGTTTTCTTTAATCTCTCTAGCTGGTTTTGGTTTGTATGAGCTAGTGTTTAAGTAAATTTCAATAAAAACTCTTTTGTTGCGTAAAATCTGGTGTTGGCTGCTTGTGTGTGTGTGTGTGTGTGTGAGTGTTTGGCTGTTTGGTTGATGACAAAAAAGTGTTTATCTACTTCCATAATCCCCAAAACTTTCTGTACCCCACCGAAAACTGTGACCAGAAACAAGGATGGATCTACAGAGAAGATATATCATTAAGATAGTCATTCCACATTTCTGATGCAATAGAGTCCCGCAACTGCAAAGAGAATTCTAGTTGTTCATCGCCGAAAGGAACGTCCAAAGCAGCATTGTCTACATGCATCATTTGTTGATCCATCTCTGACGATGGTGGTGATTCTTCCGCTTGTAGTAGGCTATCCTGTTCATACATTTTAAAGAGCCAGTCATCTGGTTTCTCACTCCGGATGTAGTTGTGTATGGCACATGCTGCCACAACCAACTTCACTTGCGTTTGTAACGGGTACGGAGGAGCTGTCATCAATATAGGGAAGCGTGCTTTCAAAGTGCCAAAGATACGATCAGTAGCATTCCTTAACAATGAATGTCGCTGATTGAATAGCTCCTTGGCATTTTGAGGAGGGTAACCATCAGGAAACTCCTTCAAGTGGTAAGGAACACCAGGGTATGGAGCAATGAAGCCTGGCAAATTCACATACTTCTTGTCCAAAAGATAGTATTTACCTGCATTGTTTGATTTTGGTTGAAGAGTTCAAGTACCATCTTTTAGGAGCTTGGAAGTATAATACAATAAAATCTTGATAAATGAATGTATGATAAATTAATAATCTTGATTAAATAATAAAATCTTTTAGTCCCGACTTAGATCAGTGTACTAAATTAATAATCTCACTAAACGCATAAGACAATAATATATATATATATTTTTTAATCCTAAAAGGCCCGATGAAAATATAAATTAATAATTAATAAAATATAAAAAAATAATAGCAAATAACATATAAAATTCATTATATTAAGAGTTTTTTTTTCCTTTCTAAATATTAAATTTGAAAAATACGCACATCAATTTACATTAATTTTTGAGTTTATATGTATATGTATATAACAATGAATATAACATTTATTATATTCATGATAACTTTTAAAGTTCTATATGTAAATATAATAATTTTGACTACATCCATTATTTTCTTTTATTTATAACTCATACATGAATCTTGATCAAAAGAATTATACATGTACTGAGATGGCACAAGTTATTGAAATATAAAACCCTTCTTAAATTAATAAATACTCATTTACCGATAAATTAATATACTATTCGATAAATAAATAACCTCACTAAAATATATTGTTTCTTAGTCCCAAGAATATTATTTTATAAAGGTTTGCTATATCAACTCCACTTGTCGAAATGAAAGGCAATGTGTCAATAACCCAGCAGAAGTAGCTCGTCTTAGACATAGTCGAAAATATGGCTGAAATATCTGAAATTTCAGTGGAAATTTCAGATTTTTGAGGGTGCCGATTTTTTCTCCACCAAAATATCGATTTCCGCAAAATATCATGAAAGTTCCGAAAATTTCAGTAAATAACGGTCTAAATATCGATATCATTTTACAAATAGTGTAATTAGGCTAGAATTTTGGGAAATTTCGGGGTGGAAACGGGAATTCTAAAAGTCTTGTTTGTTTGTTTTCTTTTTTTTTTTGTTTTTTTTATTTAAATTTGCTTTATCATATCAGTTTTTTGCATAATTTGGTCTGTCATCTAGTAACCAAACTATGCAGAACTCAGAAGCATCTTTCAGCTTTTCATTTTTGTCTCTAGAAAAAGCAAGTATTGAACATGTTGCTACAGAACTTTGCAGGACTTAATGCTATCCCATCTCAATAACTTTCACCGCATACACAACAAACTCTTCTCTTTTTTTTCCCTTGTAAAATCATGTTCTACGCAGATGAATATTTACACCATTCTTCTTGATAAACGAATTGTCATTCTTGCTCTTTCTATAACTCCCCTCCTACTCTTTTGGCATATGGTTATTTGCTACACAATTCCGAGTCTCCGACATAGTTATGCTTTCTATATATGTATATATATATTAATTGAGAATAATTCTAGTTTGGTTAATTTCATCCTTCAAATAGTAAAGGTAGCTATCTTTGTTTTGGTAATTTCTAAGATTAAATTCAAATGATACACTTAGCAAAAATTGCACCAACAACGGGCGATTACTAATATTAGCATGCATGCAGTACATACACCCACATGATAAATTTAAATGCTTCAAATTGGTGTACATGCTAACCTTATATAATTACCTCTGTAGTAAAAACTCCGTTGAGGTTTTGAAGCGCAAAGCATTTTTATTTTTATTTTTTGCATTGGATCCCAACCACATTTGAGCCTCATAGAACTTCCTTTTGATATTAAGAAATGTAAAATGTATGAAGTTTTTTATGTAAAACTTATTTATTTATGTATCTTTTAATAGAAATATTGTCTACTATAAATTTCCGTAAATTTTATTGATATTTTTTATGAAATTTCCATAAAAATGAAGTACTGATATTTCTACGGATACCGATATTTTCATCCTATCTTAAATAGTCTCAGCTGAAAAGGAAGTAACATACCTTCAGGAACGGACAGTTTGTTTCGCCTTGTGAGTGCCGAGTTCAGAACTTGAAAATCTGATGCAGAACCTTCCCAGCCAGCAAGGACGTAATGGAACTTGAGATCAAAGGAGCAAGCGACCAGAACAGTTTGTGAAAGTAAGCCATTTTTGTTGCGGAAAGGTCCTTGCTCATCAACACCAACCATTACAGGAATGTGCATTCCATCAACCGCTCCAACACAGTCCTATCAAAAGAAAGATTAATAAATATTAGAAAGACATTGGTAAACAACAGATTCTGATCAGCCTTAATAACTGTCAGGTTACCTTAAAATATGGATAGAATCTGGGATCTTCAAAAACTTCTGAAGGAACATCAGAGCTTGGGGGCTGAAAGAAATCTAATGAAATTGCCATTATAGCATTTAGAACATTGTTAAAATGGCGACTGATGGTTTCCCCAGAATAGCGGAATAACTCTTGTACAGCTCGAGTGCGCAGATTGTGACCAACTATGAACATGAATATGGCTAATTGCTCTTCAATCTTGATCCGATTTGTGTGGCGTAGTAAGCCTTTGGCTTGCAAAATATCACACAACTTATAAAATGCACGTTTATCCATGCGAAAATTTTCAAGACAACGTTCATTTTGACCATTGAGCACTTCGTCTACAAATTTTGCACCAGAAGATGCTAAACCACGACTTAGTTCTTTAGGGATATAATTCCTGTAAACCGCATCTTTTTCATCATCAGAGCTCTCCATTACAAAATCCAATCTCTACATTCAGCAACGTAAACAGCACAAATCAGCAAAAGTTAAGATGACAGTTAAGGATTTCAATCTTAATTGAGTCTCATGAGGACTCTTACCAACTTAATAAATTAAACTCCAAGATAATAAAATCTAGTCATACATGAGGCAGAACAATATAGAACGCAAATCACCAGAGGAATGACATCTAATCATTAGTGCTTTGTTCATTTCACCATTTGAATCAAAACTCAAACTTTTTGCTAAAGTGTTTTCTCTCACAAAAGTTCAAATATTCAACTTTTTCTGATACATTGTTTTCTCACATAAATTCACTTTTCAACTCAAATTCTAAATTCGAACGGCGTAACAAATAGGGCCTATAATTTTCTGATAACAACACTGCCTTGCTTAGTTGCAACTTCAAACTAGAAAAATTTATCAATTTACTAGCAACAAGTTACTTGCATGATTTCTCTTTTCCATAAAAAAAACATGATTGGGAATCCTAGAGAGAAAAAAAAGGGCAAAAATTAGAAACACATTATGTATCATAGAAAGATTTGCAATCCCTCACAATCAAGGATAAATCGCTTAAGCTCCTTCATGGCTACAACCCAAAAAGAATCCTAATTTTCAGTCTCAGTAGAAACAACACATCTTCAACACCCTTGAAGAATCTTCTCTTTGTTCCAACAAAATAATCCCGAAAAGCACTAGCACATTCTAATTGGTTAGGCACTATTCTCTGTACAAACAAGTAAGCACCTTCACTTCAGAAGCACTCAACAAATTTTCCCCACAGCTGGTAAGCCAACTTACAGTGAATTTACAGTTGCATGTTCAGATGTAAAAACCAGTCCATATTTTTTGATACCCAAAAATCCCTCGAGCCCACTTTATGAGCCCGAGATAGAAATTGAAGCCGTCGGCCGACCCTACAACCTTTGAAACGGAGGAAACTATGACTTTGTCATGTAGGTGCCCATGAGATGGCTCAAACTCCAGACCTTGTGGGAGCAAAAAAAAGGCCTGACGATTCCAACCAACACCCCATGGGTAGATGTAAAAATCAATCCATATAAAAATAATAACTCCACACATCCTTTAGAATCACACCATAAAGGCTGTGACTTTTTAATTACATATAAGGATAGACAACATCTTGTCTCATATATGATGAAAGCTGTTGGGTGACAGGGAGCAAATAAGACCTATAAATTAGAACTGAAGAACAATATGGAAAAGATCATATGTACCAATTGGTTTAGTGGATGTGCTTCTAGCTAACACAACCCTGGGACAAAGGATTCTTTCAGCCACCAACTTAACCCCTAAAGTATGAATCTAATATACAATTAGCAGACATTGATGGAACCGGATTAGGCATCTCATTCCAAAGAATAAGATTACAAGTTAACAACAATCCTGACATGTTATAACAGAAAATAAATAAACAAAAACATAAATGCAGTAGCATCAAAACGTTAAGGGTTTGGGCTCCTAGATGAGAGGTAATAATAGAAGGTGGTTGACTGCATGAACCACCTGAGTGGTTAAGCTTCTCCGTAACCTCTATGTGCCCATGATTTAAACCACAATACTGAGGCATTAAAAAACAATGAGGGAAAATAAATAAAAACTGAAAAATTCTTGCTTCTCAAATCATTTATATACCTAGTTCTTTCCTCGCCCTTAGCCAGAATAGAAAATAAGAGATTCTGATTGTTTATTTAAGGAAATTAGGTAAAAGATCTCCCTTTGAGGTTCCCATTCTACAAATTCAAAACTTCTTTAGGGCTTGTAAGCAAGATACTCAAGTTATATCATCGCTCTACTCAATAAGTTCTCACAAATGCAGTTCTTAAGTCTCAACATGTACTCAAGATGGCGCTATACAAATTATAGCAATGTCCATCCAATAACTGGTGCCTCATAAATTAGATTTCTTAAAGTTGAAATAACTGATGATAAAATTTAAGCCATTCAGAAACCATGCTGCTACATAAACAACATGGTTGACAAAAAGGAAGGACAAAACCAAGATCAAACACAAGTATACAAAATATGTTGCATACATACATACATGTTAAAACACAATGGTTGACAAAAAGAGTGACAAAACCGACATTGAACACAAGAAAAAAAAAAAGGGAAGGCCTAACTCCTAAAGATTAGCACTCGGTAGTAACATCAATACAAAATTGAAAGAGATAATGATCCATATATTCAATGTAAAGTTACATTAATCAATCAACAAAGATGATATTGCTTTCATCCTACAATTACCAAACAAAAATACACCATAAAGTAAGCACATGAGTTGCATTCTAAGGCGTTTAAATCATCAGACAGACTTCAAGGGGAAAAATATAAAATAAAAACTTTTGAGACTCCAACCAACCTAGTATTGTTTCATCAATATATTCATGTAAGTTTCAATTTTTTTCATGCTTGAGAATCTTCCTTATATATATTTCCAAGAACATTTTTTAACACTTTCTTTTTTGTCCTCATTTTGGGGCTTTCCCTATATCGATTTCATACACCTCAATTTGGTACCAACTACAAAGTAAATACCAGGAAATATTGTAGAAATTGGTTACAATTAAAAAAAAAAAAAAAACCAAGTTTAAAGCTAGCTCGTAAAGCAAATTCCTCCTAAAGAAGTAACCAACTAAACAAAAGTGAAAAAAAAAAAAAAAAAAATAGAGACCCACCAAATTTACAAGCCCAAGATCAGAGACACCGAAATAGACCCAAATGACGAAAACAGAAAAACGATAAAGTCAGTTAGTTATTTCACCTCAATTTTCCCCAACATTTTCTCAGGAAACAAAATTTGCTAATGCAAAAATTTCAAAAAGTCATACCTGAAAGACCGAGCGGAGTGTCTAGTACAGTCCCGAAGTCAAGGGAGAGGGGAGAGAGAGGGAAATGAAGAATGAATTTTATCTATATTTATATTCAATATTCATATATATTAGATAGAGTGTGTAATGTAATGCTCGGCGTGTATTGGCTGTACAGAGAGTAAAAGAATTTTGGAAAGAAAACACGCGCTGGTGAGAGAGAGAGAGAGAGAGAGAGAGAGAGAGAGAGAGAGAGAGTAGAGGAGAGAGAAGATATTTGTGTATTGGATTTTCTTAGGGAATTTTGAGAGTGAGTTTTGATGGGCATGTGAAGGAGGGAAGACTTGATGTTTATACTTTATAGTAGGAAGAAATGAGAGAGAGGGTTTGACGCGGGAAAAGTGGTAAAAAAAAAAAAAAGGTGGTGCTTTCTTTTGGGGTGTGTTGCGAAGAGTGTGGTGTAATATATTCTAGGGTTAAAATATTTATGGTCCAAAAAGAAGCGTTTTTTTGGGTACTCCACTTTTTGTGAAATTGCATGCTTGGAATTACAATTTTGCCCATACGAATAGTGAATTAACCGTGTGACATGGAAAGAAGTCAAAAGGGCAAATCCGAGATTTTCCCAACCCATAATTTGTGATTGAAGTATGGAGTGCCGTTTGAACAAGAATCCAAATGTGCTACAAATGGCCGACCTGAAGAAATTGAGGCATGCCGTTAGGGGAAGCAAAGGGGTTATGAGGGCATTAATAATTTAATGGTGTAACTACAAAAACACCCTTCAAAATATATAAATATACATACACATATATATACATGCCTATATATATATATTGTAAGCTGACGTGTTTGGTTAAACTAAACTTGAGCTTCAAGAAGGTCTATATACAACCCATATCGTCACTAGTTAGATAGCTAATGTTCTTATTAATCAAATTGATATGTGAATACAAAGTTAATTAGCACTCAAGCCTTAAAGAGATACACGTTTTCTGTGTAACAAGTCAATTAAGCAGCAAACCAAGTGGCGCACCCTATGAAAAGACCGCACGTGTCTTGTCATTGGCTCTTTTTTTTTTTTTTTTTTTTAAATTTTGTTTGTCTAAGTGTATATTTGACCCATTTCGTATATTCTATTGGCGCCTATTTGGTTGCAAGGCTTGGGGCTGGGCCACGCCAGCTTGAAATTTACAAGGCATTTTTAAGAAAAAAGAAAAGATGTGTTAAAGTTTTGAGCTTAAAACCTAGTCCCGGCTTAGCCCGAGGGTTAGGGTCGGGCCGGGCTGAACACTTAAATAGGTCAAGCTAAATACCTAAGCGGGTTGGGCATGCCCCGGGCTAATAATGTGGGGCTTCAGGTCGGCCCGTTTTAACCCCGCACAAACTTGCAGTTGTAACACGTGACTTGGTGTCGGCGTTGACGCAGATGAAACACGTGACTTTCACAATGAAAATTGTACAATAGGCCCTCCAATAGAGATATGAGGAGCGGCTGGGCCCAATGTAAGTCGAAAAAAATTGATTCTAGGGCCCACTTTACTGCCAAGTTATCAAAATACCCTAATTATGCACACAGGAGGACATCGAACACAGTTATGGAGATCGCATGGACGAAAGTATGACTTTTATTGGTGTGGATAAGGTTGTCAGAGGGGTGATCGGAGAACAAACACGGGTTGTGATGGGTTCTTAGTGGATATTAAATTTAAAACTTTGCTAAGATATGGTCGTTATTGAGTATAGTGGTTGAGCAAGTTACTAATTTTGTAAAATATTGAACTAAATAAATGGGGTTTTGAATTATTAAACTAAACTAAATAAAATAAAACAAAACAAAACTTGAAATTAATTAGGAAGTAAACAATAATAAAACAACGGTCAAAGGATCATTCTCCACCACACAAAAATAGAATCACAATGAATAAACGATAATATCTCCAATTTCCTATCCAAACTAACAACCGTAGATAGCAACAAGCTCTGCTACCCCAATATTTTCTTAGTTTGTCATTAAGCTGTTGTTAAATAAATTTTTGTGATGTGTGTGATCGCAAGTGTACGAGTCGTAACAAGTAATAAAGTGATAAATTGTCGAATATCATCACATAAGAATTGAGTTTTTATAAATTAAACTAACTACTGTAGCTACAATAACTCTAACTTTATCTAGGTAATCAAGTTTTAGAAAAAACTAATTATAGCAAGAAAGTTAATCTAACAAGCAATTAAAAATGCAATCTGGAGAAAAGGAATGAAGGAAACTTTGGTGATAATAAGATGGCAAGGGGTTTTAGTTTCATTCTATCGAGCTATGTAATTTTGATACTTAGGTTTGTTAACTAATTTCACTCAATTCATTAATCTAGGTTTTCAAGAGTAATTTTACTCCCTCTCCCAAGTGCCTAAGCAAAATAGTGTATAAAATCAATTAAGTAATATCCCTATTCACCTAACCAATTAAGCACCTATTATGCAAACCTAATCTTGATCACTCGAATTAATTAACCTCCCAAACTCAACTAACTCTAGGTTGTGTTTCCCAAATCCCAACATGTGAAATTGACTTTCCCAAAACTAAAACCACACATCTATATCTCTAATTCATTAAATCACAAATTAGAACAATAAGCAAGAGAAACATAAATGAATTGAGATGAAATATTGTTAAGAAACTCCAAGGATCTTCAAAACATAGCAAATGGTAAAACTACATTAAAACCCCTAGCTTTAAGAGTCAGCTAGAACTAATCATCAGGAATCCCATAACAAAAGCCATAAGCAAACCAAAAACCCAATCCATCATACAACTAAAATCCAAGGAAATAACATAAACCCGAAAGCTAAAAGAGAGAGAAGGAGAAAAAAAATGAAGAACTAGATGCCAATCGAGCTCTGCAATCTTCAATTCCTCATTGAAATCTTCAATCAAGCCTTCGAGTCCTCGTAGTTTCCTCTTTTTGGGTTTGGTTTTTATGTCTCCAAAGTCTCTTTTTGATTCTCCACTCATTTTCCTCTTATACCTCCTCAAAATAAATGTAAAAGAAGCCCTTAAATGACAATAACACGTGTACAGAAGTTACAGCGAATCATTTTCCCATTGCAGTACTATTTGTGTTTTCTAAAAAACCCTACAAATGGGCGTGACCGCAGCACCGATGGAGTTAGCGCTACAGCGGTCGAGGAGGATTTAGCTGGGGTGTTGTGTCTTGCACTCCGAAAAGTGCCTTCAAAAGCAAGGAGGTGGACCCGATCTCTGCCAAACATAATTATCATTTGACTGTCAAACCGGCAGTCTAACCACTTGGAAATACAATCCGCAAGTCGATCGTATGGAAATGGCACGATTAGTAGCCACATTAGATCAGCCACTTAGTTTTACCAAATAAAAAAATTGACTGCGTTATATTAAAATTGTATATAATCCTACTGCACAAATTTTTTCAAGAACTAGTCTTAGCAAAGATGCATTAAAATTTTATAAATAAGAAAGGGAAGCATTAATTAACCTTTTACACTCTACTAATGGTTACGTTACGTTAACGGCATATATTTGGTCCGCCATTGCCAACAAAGATTATTTAGCTGTAACCGGTCATTATTTTAAAGGTTTTGATTTAGATAAAAGAATATTAGGTTTTAAATGTGTTCTAGGATCACATACCACTAATTTCACAATTTTATCTGTCATTGATGAATATAGTTTAAGGGATAGAGTAATGGCTATAACATTAGATAATGCTATTGCAAATACTAAAGCAATATAACTTTTCGAAAAGGATTTAAATTTATTCGGTAATAATGATATATTTCACCAACATTATGCATGCCATGTAATTAATTTAATAGTAGAATCCGGTTTAAAATCAATGTCAGGTCATATTAAAAGAATTAGAGATAACATTGCATGGATTCAAGGTAGAAATTAAAGAATACAAGATTGGTTTAGGTTTCTACAAGCATGTAATCAAAATTCTAGAGCATTAGCCTTAGATATGACCGTACGATGGAACTCCACTTATATAATGCTTGAACAATGCATCCCCTATAAAGATTATATAACAAACTATGTTAGTATAAAATTAAGACTATGATTTATAGACAAAACTGATTGGCAAATTGCCGAACTCTTGTATATATTTTTAAGTAGATTTCAGGAAGTTACTTTAAAGCTTAGTGGAACATATTACTCAAAGTCACCATTAGCGTTAGGAGAACTTTTAAGAATGACTATTTTATTTAGTGAATTTAGGACACACGAGGTTTCAAGAGTTTCTATCGCTTCTATGGAAAATAAGTTTAAAAAATATTGGGCTAAATTACTAATGTTGTATGGTTTCAGTGTTATTTTTAATCATAGATTAAAATTAGAAGGTTTAGAAAGTAGATTAGAAAACTTAGGTGACTTTTTAAATATCGACTGTTCTGATTAATTTCCTATTATAAAGGGAAAAATATTATCTCTCTATAGCTCTTATGAAAGTAGGTTTAGAAACCCACCTCGTGTAGAACAACTGCAACAACGAGACGACAATCCACATTCATTCTTGAATGTTTTCGGGTTGAAGAAAAAGAAGAAGACAACGACGATGACGACTGAAGGTCAAGAAGAATCTGGGAGTGGATCTTCATCAAGAGGCGGCAGTAACAGCGGCAGCTTCAACGAGTTAATGGCGTACCTGAGTGAGGGCTTAGTAGTCGATAATAGTGAAATGTTTGATTTGGTTCAGTGGTGGAGGGCACGAGCATTAACTTGGCTGATCCTAACTCGACTGGTAATGGATATTTTTTCGATCCCAGTCTGCACTGTTTCATCCGAACAAGCCTTCACTACGACGGGGCGAATACTTGAGGAACGTAAAAACGCATTGCAACAGGACATTGTTGAAGCTTTGGTGTGTATTAAGGATTGAGATTGTTCCGACCAACGCTTATACGATACAATTTCACCGGCAAGTCAATAATGGATCGATAAATTCAATAGATTAACTTTTAGTTTTGAAGACGATCCTTCAGCTTCAAATTAAATTCTATTATTGTAATTTATAAATATTTATTTACTTTGTACAGTGTTATTGTAATCTTGTATAGACTTTGTAAGTTCGTCAAATTTGTAATTCGTCCCAGAATGATTGCACTCTTTTTTCCTTACCAAGTTTTTATCCCAATTGGATTTTTCTTGGTAAGGTTTTTAACAAGGCAATCATGAATTACAAATTAATAAATAAATAATTTTTTATATAGTTCGTGTTCATTTCAAATTTCAAATTGCAATATCCCTTATAATTTTTATATAATTTTTACAATAAATAACTTAAAAATCATTTATATACATACCATATACAATTAATAAATAAAATTATATATAATATATATAATAATATATAAATAT